TGCAGTATTTGAAAAATAATGTGTTTTTTGAACATTAAAGCATGTCAACATATTCTGTTACACAAAATAATAATTTTTAAAAAAGCATCATATGACCCCTTTAATAGATTAAATGCACTCGAATATTATTGAATGCTATGTGGAGGAGACACGTTTTTTTAAGTAAAATATTCATATTAATCAAGGATTTATTGACTTTTAATGCACCTTATTTTGAAATGTACAGAAATACGTGCTTTCATATGTGCTTTAGTTATGATTATTTCATTTATTCACTACTTTCGCTATTTATTATTAATGTTTCATTTCAGTTGTAGTTTGGCTCTAGTTTTGTATTTATTCCAGTTTTTATATGAAAAGGTTCATGTAACATGGATTAAAATTCATCCACAGAGTAAATCCTTTTCACTGAACATGTTTCTAAAAATAAGTTTGAAAAAGTCGTCGGGAGCATGGTGGTGGTGACGTTGAAGGCGAGCGAGCGTGGTGTAGTTCGTTTATAGCCTAAGTTTAGCTTTTTAGTTCTGGCGCTGGTTTTTAGGCTTCAAAATTCAGTATATTATTTTGTGAAGATTATCTTGATGGACAAAAAGTGTAAGCATCATAAACTATGGTTAAACACAGAGCTTATTTTTTTTACAATAATCCAAAAGCCAATGGAAAAATCCTATTGGCTTTTTGTCAAGGGAACCAGTGTGATGCTAACAGCCGATTGGCCTACAAAGTGACGTTATAGTTCCACCACTCTATAACACAGGTGAAGAAAGATATTGTATTATCTGAGAATAAAATTACCTACTTGATTAGTATTAAGTATTTAAAATAGAAAATACTGTCTCTCAAAGTATTTAACTACAAATTACATTTGATATGTTTTTGTCCAGCAAAATACAAATGACAAAATACTCAAAAGTAATTAAATACGTATTTTAAATACTTTTAATTAAAATTCTGCCCATCTCTGCCTACAAACATGGATGCAAAATGTTTGTTGTTACCAATGTCATTGTACAAAAACTTTATTTGTAGGCATATTTGTCACCCATTATTAGTTTATTTTGCACTAAAAGTAATAGAAGGGTTACCACCTGAATAAATTAAGGTTTGATCATATGGTGGTCTGCCTTATATAGAATAAAACTATTTTACTCGGCCACTGATATAAAAAAGTAGTCCTCATCTCATGTAATGGTACAATATTTTAAACATTTAAAGTGGAAAAATTACTTTCTGGACCATTGTCTGCTTGCAGAGCTAATGTGGTTAGCATCCACTAGATGGCAGCAAAGACATGCTAAATTTTGCTTTTCAAACAGTCTATTTACATCACATCTTAGCTGTCTCTATGGAGGTCTCAATGCACAATGCCGAAGGGCATCAAAACTTCTCCTATACAAACACAATAAGATATGTTACAACATATCTTACAAAAAAACAATAGATTGCAACACTGGATTTACACAATGTAAAGTATCCAATGTCACAGAGAAATAATCACACAGCTCATTTTCTCACAGCCACTGCTGTTATATGAGGCAATCAGTTTTTTTCCTGTGAGTCTCTGTACGACTAGAAAGCATATCTAAAATTTTGAGGAAATACAAGAAAAAAAGGCAATGGAATCATTGTAATGACATTACATCTCTGTCTCTCAGCTATTTCTTTGAGTCAGGGCCGGTTCTAGACATTTGGAGGCCTTATAGGCAAAATTTTTTGGCCAGCAGTATCTGTACTTTCACTCAAGTAATGGAGTTGAGTACTTTGTCCGCCTCTGCATACATGTAATTAAAATACTGTCCATCTCCGTTGGGTGGAATACTGCTGTTATGACAGTTCTGATTAGAATATATACATCCAGCTGTGTAATACCCAAGTCCCAAACCAAATAATAATAATACTAATAATATAATAAACATATCAAATATAGGCCTAATAAATATAAAATCCCAAAGTAATACCAAACTTCATAGAAAGTCTTGGTAATGCTTTGGTGTTTTAGTTGGATGCCATGCTACTTGTCTTTGAAACCTTAATTGTTTTAATATTTACAAACTTACTAGCTGTTCCAGGTAAAACCGAAACGAATCGGTTCAACTGAATCATTAAAATGATTTAAAAGAGTGATTCTTTATCGAATAGAATATCACTAGCTGGAGATGGGCGGAAGAGCCACACTCATTTACCACATATTTACTAAAAGCATGACTGCAGGGGCGGGTCTTGTCTAATATAAAGCTCATGACACAAATGATCGTCGTGAGATACTACTGCTTGTGGTTATTCGAATAATATTCCTTTCCGTAATAACATCCCACTTCAAGCATACTGATCATAAACTGTACTCGGTGTTACCGGACGGTGGAGCCGCTGAGTGGGCTTCGTCTGCTGCTCCAGGTGGGGAAGGCGCCGTCTCAAATTGGGGTGTGCGATCGCCAAAATGCAGGTTTCTGCTGCCAGGTATATCTGGAGGCGTGGTGACCCAGTGCTGGAGGTCAGTGCCGGATGAATTATTGAATGACCTGCCCGAATAGCCCCCGCTGAATGACGGATCCTCTCTGCCCCTGTAACCCAAACCCTCAAAGCTGTCAGGCCGACGAGAAGTCATGCTGGGAATCGCTAGGAAATTGACAAGATATCTCAGTCTGACTTCCTACGATTTATAACCTATGTAATGTGATACGAGTTAATTGAAAATGATAGCACTCGAAAATTAACTTCTGGTTGACCGAGGCTGCTAGCAAGTATAGTGCTTTAGCAAAACAACCCAGCACAAGCTTGAGTGACTTCTGTCGGTTGACAGTTTACTTCCGGTTTGAATGTGGCCTTATGGGTTATGTAGTTTATTGCATCTACAAGCCGATCAGATATAATGCAACTTCTTTAATACACAAGAAACAGTTTATTTTAGGGCCTATATTGTGTAATGTCAGACACAGACTCAGTGAAGAAATTAATAACATCCACCGTACTTATTTTTAACCATAGGTTGATGTGAAAGATGAGACAGAACAGTGTATCATCCAGTAGGCTATAACAATATACAACGACTAGGATAAAGATATAGTATAAGTATAGTAGTGTATATATAGACTATATATACTATAATAACGCTTATATATATTGCCGTTTAAAAGTTTGGGATCAGTCAGACTTGTAATGTTTTTCTCTAATGCTCATCAAGGCTGCATTTATTTGATCAAACATACAGAAAAAAAAACAGTAATCTTGCAAAATGCTATTACAATATAAAATAATGGCTTCTATTTTAATATCCTTTAAAATATAATTTATTTATGCGATGCAAAGCTGAATTTCCATCAGCCATTACTCCAGTATAAAGTGTCACATGATCCTTCAGAAATCATTATAATATGCTGATTTATTATTAGAATTATCAATGTTGGTAACAGTTGTGCTGCCAAATATTTTTTTTGGAAACGGCAATACTTTTTTCAGGATTCTTTGATGAATAAAAAGTTAAAAAGAACAGCATTTATTCAAAATATACATCTTTTCTAACAATATAAATCTTTGCTATCACTTCTTAACAATTTAACACAAAAAAAGAAAGATTTTTTTCCAAAAAAAAAGAAAGAATAAAAATGTACTGACCCCAAACTTTTGAACTGTAGTGTATATTGTTAGAAAAGATTTCTATTTTAAATAAATGCTCTTCTTTTTAACTCACAGGTTCCCAAAAAATATTAAGCACAACAGTTTCCAGCACTGATAATAAATCAGCATATTAGAATGATTTCTGAAGGATCATGTGACACTTTAGACTGGAGTAATGATGCTGGAAATTCAGCTTTGCATCACAGGAATAAATTAGATTTTAATGTATATCAAACTCCTGTAAACAACATTAAAAATCGTTCTGATCCCAAACTTTTGACCGGTAGTGGTAGTGTGTTTGCACACATATATATATCTGTTGCTCAATTAATCTGAATCACTTTGAATTCTAATTTTATGAATGAATGAATTAATTTATTTATTTGAATTGAATTTGAAAAAAAAAACTATGACCAGAAGGACATTGTTTTGTAAATTATAGCTAAGAACTAAATACACAATATTACATTTAACCCATGCAGACGCAAAGGGAGAAAAGGGCGCCCTCTGTTGATGAAAACTGTCTCTACATCAGCTTGAGATGCAGCAGAAGCAGCATCTGCTCAGGAGCCGCGGGGCCTGCGGTAGGATCACGCTTTTATATATCAAAACACAATATTTCAACAATGACACGCTAATGCACGGTAGTTCAAACGCTGTAGAAACACACATGTTGCGTATGTAGGTAGATAAATACGTAGATAAGGAGATATTTGCCGTCTTAAAAAGTTGTTTACTTGCAATAGCATTTGCTGGATAGCTTGCAAGCTACACGATATTGAGTTTCATCTTTAAAAATAACAATAATACCTTTCATGATTATTTACTGTCATAAAACCTTTCAAAAAAAAAGAAAGAATAAAAATGTACTGACCCCAAACTTTTGAACTGTAGTGTATATTGTTAGAAAAGATTTCTATTTTAAATAAATGCTCTTCTTTTTAACTCACAGGTTCCCAAAAAATATTAAGCACAACAGTTTCCAGCACTGATAATAAATCAGCATATTAGAATGATTTCTGAAGGATCATGTGACACTTTAGACTGGAGTAATGATGCTGGAAATTCAGCTTTGCATCACAGGAATAAATTAGATTTTAATGTATATCAAACTCCTGTAAACAACATTAAAAATCGTTCTGATCCCAAACTTTTGACCGGTAGTGGTAGTGTGTTTGCACACATATATATATCTGTTGCTCAATTAATCTGAATCACTTTGAATTCTAATTTTATGAATGAATGAATTAATTTATTTATTTGAATTGAATTTGAAAAAAAAAACTATGACCAGAAGGACATTGTTTTGTAAATTATAGCTAAGAACTAAATACACAATATTACATTTAACCCATGCAGACGCAAAGGGAGAAAAGGGCGCCCTCTGTTGATGAAAACTGTCTCTACATCAGCTTGAGATGCAGCAGAAGCAGCATCTGCTCAGGAGCCGCGGGGCCTGCGGTAGGATCACGCTTTTATATATCAAAACACAATATTTCAACAATGACACGCTAATGCACGGTAGTTCAAACGCTGTAGAAACACACATGTTGCGTATGTAGGTAGATAAATACGTAGATAAGGAGATATTTGCCGTCTTAAAAAGTTGTTTACTTGCAATAGCATTTGCTGGATAGCTTGCAAGCTACACGATATTGAGTTTCATCTTTAAAAATAACAATAATACCTTTCATGATTATTTACTGTCATAAAACCTTTCATTACTATTTAGTGTTTTGTCGTACTGTGTTTGCTGATGTGACATTGAGGCTGATCTGTGCTGAAGGGGACATTATTAGTAGTACGCGCGGCTCTCAGGTTGTTGATCAGAGTCTGACTTTGTGCTTCATGGGATCTTTCATCCCTCAGATTAACCGATTACAAATTTACCTGACATCTATTGGTAGACGTACCAAATCCCTTTTTAAAACGTATTTACATTGAAAAAGACTGGGTCACAATGTTGAATTCAATGAAGTCAGTGTTACTTAAAAAAAGAGCTCATCCCACAATGTTAGTGTCATTTGATTGCATTATATAGCTTTAATATGTGTTAATATCACTGAGTAAGTTTTGCCTTTATACTGTACACATTTACGCAAAGGTTTATGTGGGATTTACAATGTACTTGAAATGAGTTAAGTCCTTTTTACTGAAATATTTCGTTGATGACAACCTTCCCCTTACGCAAAGAAAATATATTTCCTAATATATGAATGATCAATATATTAAGTGATTTAATAGTATATTAGAAAATATACAGAGTAATATATTGTGTAAATATATTACAATATATTGAATAATTAATACATAAGTAATTGCCGGTTTCATATATTGAAAAATATGTGAATGTATATTTACTTATATATATATATATATATCACACACACATATGGAAATATATATTTATGTTTAATGATCATTTACAATATGTGTGTTTCATATTTTAAAATATAGCTAGTTTACAATAGCATAAGCACACCTGCTCATACTAAAGTACTTAGTGAACAGACTATCACTGTCCTGAAGAGTGCACAGCCATTACTTTTTAAATAAAGTAAGATCTAGTCTTAATGGTGTTCCAATCGTCATCCTAACCACAGGCTCTACTCTTCAGCACAACGGTAACCCCACAAACTTACACACACCCGAAACCCTTTTACATTCCAAAATAATATAATATAATACAAAATATAATGATATTGAGCAAAAACACTTAATTTTAACATTTTTACTCTCCTTTAAAGGGTTAGTTCACCCAAAAATGAAAATTCTGTCATTAATTACTCACCCTCATGTCGTTCCAAACCCGTAAGACCTTCGTTCATCTTCAGAACACAAATTAAGATATTTTTGATGGAATCTGAGAGCTCTCTGACCCTCCCATAGACCGCAAGGGTACTACCACGATCAATATCCAGAAACGTAGCAAGGAGATCGGTAAAATAATCCATGTGACATCAGGGGTTCAACCGTAATATTACGAAGCTACGAGAATACTTTTTGTGCGCAAAAGAAAAAAAATAATGACTTTATTCAACAATTTGTCTCCTCCGCGTCACCCTAGCGCCATTTTGGAGAGTATCCACTGAATGCAAACAGCGTATGTTGTTCTGTGTCAGCTACGTCACACGGATACGTTGTTTTCGTTCAAATCAAAGCACAAACAACGTAGAAAACGTATCCGTGTGGTGCGGCTGACACAGAGCAACATACGCTGTTTGCGTTCAGAGGATACTCTCCAAAATGGCGCTAGGGTGACGCTACGTTTCTGGACGTTGATCGTTGTAGTAGTACCCTTGCTGTCTATGGGAGGGTCAGAGAGCTCTCAGATTCCATCAAAAATATCTTAATTTGTGTTCCGAAGATAAACGGAGGTCTTACGGGTTTGGAACGACATGAGGGTGAGTAATTAATGACTAAATTTTCCTTTTGGGGTGGAGTAAGTAATTAATGACAGAATTTTTATTTTTGGGTGAACTATCCCTTTAACAGTCAGAAGCAAAGTAGGGCTGCACAATATATAGAAATTATCGAAATATCGCAAATGCAAATATCGCAATATGCATATCGCTACAGCTTGCAATATTTGCACAGTCGGTTATGTTTTAAATGAATGTAAACAGCTGAGAAAGAAATCGGATGTGTATCATTATACTGGATCCGTGCAGTCGGATTTAAAGGGACAGCAGCCTATAAATACGTGCTGCTGAATATGTCACTAATGTTAACAAAACAACAAAACTGCTATAACAAAGATTAATCTAAATTTAATTCATACATTGAACACTATGCAGTGTTATTTTACACTTTAATTATTAAATTTCTGTACCTGAATACTACTGTTTATATTATCTATGCTTGTAAATTGTGTATTTCTTTTTTTTTTTTCTTCTTTTTTTTTTTCTTCTTTTTTTTTACTGGCTGTTCACTTGCCTTTAATCATGTTTGAACTTTCTCAGACTATAGTGTTTGCTGTGGTATATGAAGAAGTACTTAAAGTGTGTGGAACGGAAAGTTACAATGATATAAAATTAGTGTCATTAATTATTTTTGTTTGTATGTTCACACTGATGTTAAAATTACATTTTCTGATTTGTGACATTACTTTTTATGTAATGCTAAAACACTGCTGGTCACTTTGTGAATGTGAAACAAATTGGTTATATAATTTTCATTGAAAAATATTTTAAAATATAATTGAAATTGATTTTACACACATTAAGCAATATCGTATCGCACATCGAATATCGCATTTTTTAACAAGGTATCGCATATCGCATTTTTCTTCAATATCGCACAGCCCTAAAGCAAAGTTTATTTAAAGAAATCTTCTGTAACTCATTCCGTGAATGTATGTGTGTACATACTTTCACATTTATATGGGAACGTGTATGTGCAATATATACTCAATAAAGGATCAAACTTTATGAATATTAGATGTATTCTTGTCTTCATTTCTAAATATATTTGTATGTATCTTTATATAGACATACATTGCCAATGCATATATTGCTGTATATAAAAAAAATATAAGCACTAGTTTCCCATATATGGAAATGTATTATGTCATAATTCGCATTATATTTTGCGGTATATTCCCATATATTTTTGTTACGTAAGGGTAAGCATACTACTTGAAAGAAATATTCTGAATTACATATTTTCAAGATTAAATAGTCATACAAAATATGATACGTTGAGTGTCATCACTGTCGCCGGTTTGTCCCTAACCGTATTTCAGTAATATTGCATCTTTGTGTCTTCGTATCTAGTAAACGTCTATGAACAGTGTCTCTGTATTTCCGCTAGATATTGTTGGTTGTTGGTAATCGGCAAGTCTCCAGATGTAGTCGAAGGAGCATCACGTTTCCCCCACTGGTCCACATACCCCCCCACTGCATGGCTTCGCTTGCTGGTGTCTCACACCGTGTCTCCATAGCCCCAGTCCTGCACACCCTCATGCTGGGGTCTCAGGCCTCTCACAGACTGACCAATGACTGCCTGGATTGTTCTGCCTGTCAGCCTGTCCGCTTTCTCCATCACGGGGATATGGATTGTGTGAGTTTTTATGTTCAAGCCAGAAGTTTTACATCAAATTTAGTGTAGCCCTCTACTGTTTTTGTTTAACTATATACAGACAAGTCATGTACTTAACAAATAACCATAACATATTTTGTTCTGTAGTTACGCCATGGCAGTAATGAACCACCATGTCTGTCCTGTTGAGAACTGGTGAGTTAACCCTTTAAAGCCTACTATATCATATTTGATACACAAATTCTATGGCCTTTTAATTATCAGTGTGATCAAAACTTTGCTGAAAAATCTGTAGTACACAATCCACTACATGCCTTCTGTCGTCGGACTGATAATTTGTACCCTTTTTAACAAGTAAATGGCCTTTTAGTGTAATTCTAAATACGTTGCCCTTTCAGGTTGTGGTACATGTGCCTTTTTACTGTGAAATATTTGCTGATTTTTATAAAGTAAACACAAAAATGACTTTTAGTTTGTTAGTAATGTTTCAGGATCAACACTTATTGGATTGAAGCAACTTAGGTTTGCTTGATTATCCATACATTATTTTTAGATAAATCATGTTAAAATGTGAGTATTAAGTATTATACTTTAGGCTGTTGAGGATTTGTCCATCTCTCAGTCATCATTGTGTTGCATTGCATTATAAGCTTTACCCCCACAATAAAAACAACAGGGCTTTGATCTTAAACGTAAGTAGTTAATATCATCTTACTAAGACGTATCACATGGAGCTATAGGGTGACAACTGATATTTATATGCATTTTATTTAATGTTGTAACAATATCATTGATATACATTTACAAGCTATCAGAATTAACCTTTTGGCCATGTAAATATCAGCACCTGCACCAGTTAAAAAAACAAAAACGTACAAAAAAACCCTATTATTTTATAATTCATGCTTTACGGTGTTAAATCCCAAATCCAAAAAACCCTCTTCTTTCATGCTTGATTCTTTGTATCATAGGTCATACAATTTGACATGTACAGAGGAAACGGCTAAGAGGGGCTTCCCAAAGACCTGCTGTACTCTTCAAGACATCCCCCTCATCAGGTGAAAATGACTTTGAATTGATCTGGAATGCCACAAAATGACCACATTTTGAAGATGCCTCCTTTTAGTATTACTGTTGTGCACCAACTTCTTGTGAAAAGGTTGCCCAATATCTGATTTTCTGCTCTTTCAACAGTAAATGTGGTTGCTATCCACCAGAGAGCTGTCTCTTCAGTTTGATTGGCAACGTTGGGGCCTTTATGGGTAAGAATTACAGTTTGAAATGTAATAAATAACCAAACAAGCTAAAATACAAAATTAACTCCACAAAGAAGTTGATTACCTAATCTGTCATTTAAAGGTGTGTGATTTATGTCAATATTAAAATACTTCTATCTATCCCAGAGTATGCCGGTAATTTTGTGTGTGTGTGTGATGCTCCTGCAGTGGTTATGGTGTGCATGCTGCGTTATGCTCAAGTGATTGAACACAGCCATCATTGCTGGACCAACACAAGTTCTTTGGTCTCCGGCTGCATTAATGCCCTTGGTTTGGTCATGGTTGGCAACTTTCAGGTGAGCAGGCAAAAATAGACTTGTAACTTCAGCCCATTATATAAATCTAAATTAACTTGTATTCTTTTTTTTTTTTTCTTTCTTTAGGTCGATCATGCCAAGACGCTTCATTATGTGGGAGCGGGTGTAGCTTTCCCTGCCGGCTTGCTGTTTGTGTGTCTGCAGTGTGTTCTGACGTACCGTATAGCAGAGACAGCACTGGACTACTGGATGGCTCATGTGCGTGTGGCGCTCTCAGCTGGAGCTCTGGTATCGCTTGTCCTCAGTATCCTTACCAAGAGCTCATGAATGGTTCTACATTTTGTGTTTGACCTTAAGGAAGACACTGGAAATCAGACATGATCTGATACATGAAAATCAAATTTAGATGGCTACATTTGAGCATGGAGTGAAAAACAGTGCAAAAAGATCAATTATAGTAAAAAGAAAGAAAAGTTACAGTACATCTAGGGTTGGGTACTGTAACCCGGTACCAATATGGCACCGGTACCTATGTAACCGGTATGTACTAGTAGGGCTGGGCGATATAGCTAAAAAATGTATCAATGCAACCCTCTACATTGCGAGTAAATCACTCGCAAATGCGACTAAATCTTCACTCTGGCGACTAAATGATGTCTAATATTAGCCTAACACAATTTATTGAGACAAACAACAAATATTTTTTGTTTTAACAATCAAACACAAAATAAAAATTAAATATCTCATTTCTAGTGTTTTATATGCAGACTAAATAGGTTTTTAGGAAACTTTTGTCTTGTCTCCCGAGGGCGCAATGAGCAAAATAATGCAGCACATTTAAAGCCCTAAAACAGACAATTAATCGCAATAACCGTGACTATTTTTAGACAATTAATCGTCAGCCAAATTTCATAATCGCGACAGCCCTACCCTGCCATCAGCTCCCGCGTCTCACACAGCGCGACTTTAGCACTAGATTTAGCAACTTTCAGACCCTTTTAGCGGCTTTTTTTCCATAGAATATTCATACTGACAAACCTAGCGACTTTTTTGGATAAACCTAAGCTATGGTTAACTTCCGTTATCCAAGCTAAACATGCTTGAATTAAAATGCCTAAAGCTAAACTTCCCTTGTATTCACATTTCTAAACCTGTTGTCCAACAAAAGAGAACATTATAACCTTTTTACTCCACAACACCAGTCAAATGCTTCCTTTTGTGATCTGATGAGGCTTCTTGTCACAGAATGAGGCAGAAAATATGTTCCATAGGCTACTTTAAAAAGAATACATCGATTAGCAATGGATTATAAATATACTTAATTGTTATGAAAATACCAGAGATGGCTTGAATAACAAAGATAAACTATATTGTCGCAGTCGAGTGTTTATTGCCTTTGTTTTATAATTCAAAACGTTTATATGTTCCGTTTACTCAGTTACAGCTATAATAGCATGCCTTTGTCCATATAAGCGATTTCCTGGAAGGTCATTCTCTGTCTAGATATGTGGATTTTCTGTGCGATGGCGCCCTCTGGCGTCCAGTATGAATGAAACGGACATCATGTGTTTATAGTGCTAATGGCCAAGCCATCATTTTTTGGGGAATTTTTATTTATTTATTTTTTAATAAGTATCGGTTCAGGCACCGGAACCGTTTTAAAAGTATCGATTTGGCACTGGTATCGGAAAAAACAAAACGATACCCAACTCTACAGTTAACGAAGATCATGTTAAATTTTAATGCTGAAATGCAGTATGCCTATTCCTTAACATCACCCTTCCTATTCAAGGTGGTATCTTCTTCGTCCATGAGAGTTTTGTATTGCAGCACGCCGCAGCCATCTGTGAATGGGTCTTCACCGTCTTGGTCCTGGTGTACTACGGCACCTTCACCTATGAGTTCGGCACTGTCAACAGCGATACCATCATGGCGGCCTTAATGAAACGCAGTCAACATCATCATCCAGGGTCAGCGGTCATCATGGGGGGTATTGGGAAGGGTGTTGCGATGGGATGTGGTGCCCGCAGTCTCAAGTCACCTGGAGGCAGCAGCACTTCCACACACCTCAACTGTACACCAGAAAGCATCGCCATGCTTTAGGGGCTAACCGCTACGGTATTCTCTCAGACCTCAGCACACAGACTCTTCAACTGGCTCATGCAATTGTGAAAAACTGGTACAAGCAATACAGTAGGTTTACAGACTTGCTGATTATAATCTAATAGTAATGACCAGTCAGTCATAACTAAGGTATTTTGCATGATTTTTTGCATTCATGTGTAAGATAACTGAAAATACAGCCTCAATAACCAGCACAGACAATTCCTTCCCATAATTCAAGGGGCCTCTGATAGAAATGTTTTAGTTTTCAGTATATTAAAACTGCAATAACTCATTCCTAAAGGCACATTCACACTGACAGCAATTGAACTATTTAGGGTCAACAAGTGGATTGTTGGTTGTTAGTAGAATTTCTGCATCAGGAAGTCCTATAGAGTGCTGCAGGGATTATGTATTATGTAGGCCTGGAAACTTGGAGTAAGCATTTAAACACTTCCGGTTCCATCGTCCCAAATCAATGGGTTTTTGGTTAAATGCCCGACATAATATATGTGGCAAACACAAGCTTGAGATATTTTCACGTTTTATTTTACAACATAAAATACATCAGTAAATACCCCCTTATGATAAAAAAAAAAAGAAAAAGTTTTTGTCTTGAAAAAGGCGGTTGCTAACAAGTGGCTAAATGGGACGAATATTAATATTGATATAATATTAATATTAATGTCAAGAATATTAAACGTCATCACACCGAAAAGGAAAACTCATGTACTCACTAGTCGGCTTTTCCAGCTTCTTTATGTTTATAATCACTCTCTCGAAAATTATTCTTACTCAAACTTTCAGGGAGAATGTTTTTTAAATAAAGACTGAAAGAGTTGTTGGAAGCTTCGTGATGTTGACGTTGAAGTCATGCGACCGCGGTGTAAATCGTTTATAGTCTGTTTCACTTTTTGTCTTGTGATTGCATTTAGACTTTAAAATTCATAAAAGTTGTGTTCATTTGTAAATAGTATCGTGATGAACAAAACGTTTTACAATTATAAACTTTTGTTGGTCACAGAGCTTCTTGCAGTAATCCAAAACCCAATGGAAAAATCCTGTCGGGTTTTTCTCAAGGAAACCAGCGTGATGCTAACTTCCGGGCTGGCCTACACAAATACGTCATCACTGCATTTCTCTATTGGTAGGCGGTGCATTGTATCTCCACTCAATTACATTATAGTTGCAAAAAACGAATTTGTCGCAACACTCTCTGTCACTCGTGTTGCCCTGAATCGCCAACTCCCATTGAAAATCAGGTCACTTCGTCAGTGTGAATCTGTTACAAAACTGCCAGCAATACCAAGACACTTGTCTAGACAAAGAAGATAATTGGCTAAACCCATGCAACCTTCCGTAACCCATCTAATCTGCAGAAACTGTGATTACACAACAGGTCAAGCCATCACTGTAGCAATGAAGATGTTAAGTCGGTTGCACCAGCCATTGCTGCCAAACAGTTGGGTTGCAATGAGGTTGAGGTTTAGTCAAATAGCGATACTTTTTATTCATACCTGAGATGCAGGTGGTCCATATTTATGTATTCATTCCAAGTGCTCACAGCTTAGTTTGATCTGTTGCACTGTATTGGCATGACATCAGGTGCTGTGGACCCTCTGTCCTATAGCTCTAGATGCAATGTGGCTGTATTGAATAAGATTTAAAAGCATCTCTTTGCATCCTTTTGGTGCTTTTGCCAAGTTTTTTCATCACTTAATGTAAAAACTGCCTGGATTGATCAGTTGCATCCCATTGCGAAAAAATTCCTAGTATTTCAGGATCACAAGAAACAGGATTTTGTGTCCATTATTCTATTGTTTGGATTTTTCACATTTAGAAATATAAGGTGATATTAAAATATGAGGTGGGAGGGAACCTTTTAGTTCACTGCTTTTGAGAGCAAATGCAAAGTATCACAGGGGAAATGCAATAGGCTACTTTTGCAAGCAAACACAAAGTTTCTCAGGGGATCGCAAAACTTGAGTGAGAGAATGCATTGTGTGCCTTTGCATTTGCTCTCCAATCTTTTGTTGCCATGCAAACCTTTTGTGTTCACCTGAGAAACTGTATTTCAGTGCTTTTGCAAGCAAATGCAAAGTTTCTCCTGGAAGCGCAATACTTTTGCAAGCAAACACAAAGTTTTTTTTTTTTTTGTGATAATGCAAAAGTATTGTGAAATTTAGCACACAAAATCACTGAAATTACATTTTTCCTCCTATCTCGTAATTTTTCAATTTTAGGGGGTTGCATAGAAACCCTCCTAAAGTTCTGGACTTGACAAATATATCGGCACAATTTCGAAACAGGAAATGCTTTTGTGGGCAAGTTTGTATATCTTGACATGAATGTTTAGATGGTGAAGCAAACAATTGGTAGTCAAACGAAGCTGTCATATTAAATGATATATTTTCACTTCTTAGGTGTATTTGGATGGTTATGTGTAATAACGAAGACATCTTGTTTATTTCTCCACCATGCTTAGTTCCTGTCACTTCAGTATTAATCTAGCATTAAGAGAGAATCAGAGATCTTAACCAGTTTTTTTTTAGTGTATTGTTTTTACTATTTACTAACGTTTACTATTTATTAGGGATGTAACGATTCACTCAAGTCACGATTCGATTCACAAATTAGAAACAAATTAGATTTAGGACAAATTATAAATAAAATTTGTCCTTTTATTATTGCTTGGACAAAATGCTGCACATTTCTTTGTGAAATTGAAATATAACACTATAATAATATACTAATACAGCACTTGCATATCATTGCTCTTTTGTTGGTTTTGATTGCTTCTATTGTTCTCATTTGTAAGTTGCTTTGGATAAAATTGTCTGCTAAATAACAAAATTTAATGTAAATGTAAATAACAAAACTAAATTGAAATTTTAAAACAAGCCCCAAATCAAATAAATAAGTAACACAAATAAAGAAATCTCTTCATATAAACAAAATAAGGCTTTGTCTGTGCTCTTTCCATTTAAAATTAGGCTAACACTGCATTTTAATCATGATCCAAACAAAGAAGCTGCACACATGCAACATGAGCAGTTTTTAATCTAAATTAAATTGTATAATTTCGAAATTTGAAGCAAAAACAGAATGGTTTGACTTCAGTTTTGTGAAACTATACATAAAATGATCTGCATGAAACCGAAACAGCAGATGAGCTGAATGAGATGCAGATTCACTCTCTGCCAGCAGGTGGCGCTTAAAGCGTTTCCTTGGTTACTGCTGTAAACAAAGCAGCGCTGCACTTATGTACTTTAATATGCATTATACAGAGGCAAGATGAAAAGAAAAAATACCAACTAAACTTTTCTAAAGACAGTAAGTTCCCCTCACATACATTCACATAAACTCCTACCCCTAATTGAATCGCGATTTGTTTAGCATCTCAACCGATTTTAATTGTCACATATTTCAATCGATTTTCAACCGGCTCACAGTTAATCGTTACATCCCTACTATTTATGATATGCATTTGTTAATCAGAGCTGCTTGTAAATGAATGCCGTTAGCTGAGCATAATATTGGATAAAATATGAGAACTGCAATGAGACTGGGGTCAGTAATTATGAAATGAAGAAATCTTCCTAATCAATATCACACCTTCATTATAACCTCAGTTCCTACACAAAAGAAATTCTCATAATATATTGGAAATGATGTATAGTGCACTAAAGGGGGGAAAACCTAAGTATTTTTTTATTTGTTTAGTGGACCTGAAATGTGAAATCCTCCATAATATGCTGTATTTTGACTACACAGTAGTTTTAGTTTTTAGATATTGCTTATTTGAAAGCAATATATTGAAAGTTACTATAGAAACCAATGAGAGTTGGTTTTGTGTTGTATCTCTTTGTTATAATTTATTCTTCGTAATGCCAGACAATGAAACCATGCAATATTCAACTTCTGCAAACAAGTATACCTCTATGAAAATCCTACTGTGGTGAGATGTTCAGAGTTTCCTAAAGGAGCTGCTAAGACGTGTGTTACTCAAGGTATTTATGTTGTTTCTGTTTTGTGTGAAAAGGCCAAAATCAAACGTCTGTACACTCTAAAAAATGCTGGGTTGTTTCAACCCAACTTTGGGTCAAATATGGACTAACCCAACCGTTGGGTTAAATTTTTACATTAAATTTTTAACCCAAAAGTTGGGTTAGTCCATATTTGACCCAAAGTTGGGCTGAAACAACCCAGCATTTTTTAGAGTGTAGATGTCCTGAGGTCTCATGAAGCTCAGTCAAATCAATGATATGCTCCCTTTTGTTATTCATATACATCCAGTGAGCCTTCATTGCAGCTGTTTGAATAAGGCCCTGATCACCTTTTAGGCTACAATAATTTAGTTACTTTTTGTTAAGTGGAAAATTCCTAAATTTGATATGTCAAAAGGGAAAAAATGTCTAAAAACAGTTTTGTTCAGTAGACAGATTGTCTGATAAACTTGTGAAATGGAAACTGAAATCCATTTATCGACTTGTTACAGTTCATACTGCAACTTACTTTTGAATTATGAGCCATTCTGCACGTTTCCTTATCTTTCACAAGGGTTTTGTTTTGTGAAATAAAATGTACCTTCATTTGAGAGACACTGTTCACTGAGAAGGTTGTTTGCTGCCAGTATCATACTGTTTACAGCAGTTAAGTCATGTTTAATACAGAATTTAGATGACAAATAAAACAGCTTAATGCAAAATAAATGAAATTTCACACACCATGAAAGTAATATTCTGCAAGGCCTCCTAGAGTCATTCAACTCATTCAAGGGTTTTAAGTGTCAGGGTGACAAGGTGTTTGATAGTATATAATCCTATAAACCAGAATATGGATATACAGTATGGTCAGTTTTGTGTAAAATTATGTAAAATGGAATTTTACCATTTAGGTGCAAAGGTGTACCTTTTGAAAAGGTGTTGTCCCAGTGACAGCTTTTGGAACTTTTTTTCTGAGAGTGAAGGGAGGGTAGATTCTAGGGTAATTTAGGCCTTATGTTAAGAGAGTCGGGCTTGTAACAGAAAGGTTGCGGGTTCGAGTCTCAGGTCCGGCAGGAATTGTCAGTGGGGGGAGTGAATAACCATAAAGTCTGGTATTTATGCAGGTCATGAATTTGAAACACATAAACTTAAAGTCCCCATGAAATCAAAATTAAATTTTTTTGGGTGTTAGTATCAATATGTTAGTCTTAAGGTTATCTATAAGGCAGTGTGCTCCAAAACAGTGACAAAATTCGCATTTAGAAGATATAAGCATTCAAAGCTTGCAGTTCGTCACTTCCGCCAAAACGGCTCAACTATTTTTTTGACGTCACTTCATACTTCAGCTTCTCATCAAACATTGTCCAATCAAATGCTCTCTAGAATCCGAGCGCCCGCCCCCTACACTATAAAATAGATGCTGAAGCCTTGGCTGAAATCGGTCACTTGTCCACAGAATTAGTATTTTCTGTACAGTGAATGGCACGTAGTGCACTATATAGGGGACAGGGAATGATTCAAACAGTGTAAATATGCTTTTCATTGAGGAAAAAAAAGAAGTCTGGTTTCGCGCTGTCACGCTAACCACCG